CATGACGAACCGCAGTGCGAGCAGGGAAAAAAGGAATGTTGGCCTCATCAGTCAACGACGCTTCTTCCCCTTCCCGCTCTGTCTCCTCGTACCCCCTCGCGTGCCGGATGTCGAACTCCTCCTCCCTCGTGCTGATGAAGAAGTCTGCGCAGCGTGCCGTCTGGCTGCACGCGTCGGTGGGGGAGGTGGGGGCTCGTACTCGGCGTCGTCGTAGTCACCATCGGAACCTCCCTCGCTCTCCTCCTCTCCCTCCTCCTCGCCCTCATAGTCCTCGTCCTCCTCCCGTACTGCCACATCTGTCTCAGGATCATCCTCCTCGATGGTGACAGGGGTTCCTGCCTTCCTTAACACAACAGCCTTCGCACTAGCCTCTGCAACCGTCTGCTCACGGCGCGATCCACGAGGCATCCCCAACCCCTCTACCCCCGAAGTCTTTCCAAGTGCATCTCCTCCCTGTGCGGGCACGGGGCGTGGATGAGGAGGCACTCCGCGCTTGCGTGGAGTCTGCTCAAGTACGGCACGCGTCGCTGCTCTCAGAGCGTGCTCCAAGCTATCACCGGACACTCCTCTGCCGCGACCTCACTGAGGCTCACAACCTGATGCTGCCACCTCCCTCGCTGCGGTCATCCTGCCGTCGCGGGGTCCTAAGCCCGGCTGTAGACGTGCAGTGTGCTCCGTGACACGGTGGGTGGAATCCAAATCTATGTTTGTCCTCCCGAACAACGCTGTGTCACTCACGTCCCCCACATCGGCTGTAGTGTTCCGAATCCTAGACCTCCCAGGCGTGTGTGGAGATCGAGAGCTTCTGCCTGTGGGCGACGATGACGGATCACCTACAGGTGGTCTAGGAGGAGGGGGTGGCATGTCTCGTGTACGTGGCGCCGTCTCCACGACGCCACCAAACCCCTGGGACATCTCCTGTCGTACGTGCTCCGGTGGAGGTAGACCCAGACCACACCGGCGATGCAGGACCCCATGGAACTGGAGGGATCGCCTGCCATGCTGGATGCTGTAGCCTCTGGTCAAAGATCCGCCGGTCCAAGCGAGTCACATCGCAGACAGCCTCTCTCGCCAACTCGTCTGCATCCAAAGGACGACGGACCTCCTGCGGAGCAAAGTGACTAGGAAGACGCGGTGGCGCAACCACCGGCTCGGACCCCAAATCCGTGGTAACGGGCGGCAGCACACCATGCACTGCCACCGGCTCCGGCTGCGACTGTCGGCCCTGAGCCAAGTGCAGGCCCGAGAACGGAACGACTGGACCCGTCGCTGTCTCCTGGACCACACATCGTGTGTCACCCACACCCTCGTCTCGCCGCCGTCCTACCTGCACAGCCTCATCCACCGCCTGTTGCAAGCCCTCCACATAAACATCCGCTGCCTCTCGCCCACCCTGCACAGCCTCAGTGTCTGCCTGTGCTACCGCTCTCTCCACAACGTCCTCCCCCGCC